GCACACGCAACTTATGGGGTCGGAATGCATTTGCGCTTCCCTCGGATCCCGAAGAAAGCAAGCCGCTGGAGGCCTGGGCCCACCTCGTGCTCCTCCCGAGGATGAGGAGGATGAGGAGGAGGAGGAGGAAGAGGAGGAGGAGAGCAAGACGTTGGATGCCTGGGCCCTCCTCGTGCTCCTCCCGCCCGGTGCATTTTTTGTGCCGCCGCCGCCACAGCCGAGCCGGTGGCGGATGGAAGGCAATGAGGACATGCCCCCATCGTTCCACGCGCGCCTAGGGTGGAGGAAGAAACATCGACGTAAACATCGAAAGTCCGCGCGCAATTCTTGGATCTGCGCTGGAGCCCCCTCCCTGGCGCGCGGAGCGCGCGAGGGGCGGCGCCGGAGGCGCCGCCAGGAGGCCGCAGCGCGGATCCAAGAAATCCGCGCGGAGCTCCGAAAGCTAATGTTTGTGGCGTTTTTCCTTCTTCGACAGGGGGCGCCTCTTCTGGCGCCAGCGAGGGGCGTAAGGAGAAATGGGGGGAGGGAGGGAGGAGGCAGGAACGGGCGGAAGGGGAGAGGGAGGGGGAGTCGGAGGGAGAGGAGGAGCGCCGAGCTTCTGCCCCAGCTGCGAAGGCCGCATTCAAATTTGACTGGAGGTCGTGCCGGTTGGAAAAATCGGGCACGATCCATCGAAAACGAAGTATTGAATTCTCATAAAGTGCGGGAGGCCGGACGGTGTCGGAGATTCCGCAGCATCCCTCTGGGGGCGCGTCGGGGTGTGAGAACTGCGAGCGCGATTGCAGGACGAGCTGAGCGTATTGAAGCAGCACAGGGCACAGGGGCACCCGTCCGAACGCCCAGCAACGCTGGTAGCAAGTGGGCTGGGGTCGGCACGGCGTCTGTGGTCGGCCAGGGAGCTCTCGGTGGATTAGGCCCCCAGCTGCCCAGCCTGTGCGAGTCGGGGGGAGGAGGAGGAGAAGGAGGAGGAGGAGGAGGAGGAGGAGGAGGAGGAGGAGGGGCCTGTACCGCTAAAGCCTGCTCCGAGAGCACGGGACGCAGAGTATACACCTCGAGCACCCACCCAGGAGCAGGCCGCGGCCACTGTGCCTGCGGGCATGACGAACGGGCACAGGAGAGCGCCCCAGCGAGCGCACCTCGCTTCTGGCCCATCCGAGGCTCGTCAACGAGCTCCCAGGCGGGCCCGGAGAGCATCCGGCTCGTGAACGTTTTCTTATTCGGCGCTTCGACATTGGGCGGCAAGGGGAGAGGGAAGGGGAGGGGGGTCTGGCTCCGGACTTCTGCATGATGCGGCTGTGTTGCACCAGTGCGTCCTGCGGGGAGGCTCCACCTGCTCGAAACAGGCGCCACAAACAGCCAAAATCTACTCCGTGGAGGGGGGGGGACAAAAAGTGCGAGGGCCCATGCCAATCAACAAAACAATACACAAAAAACAATCACCTCATATTCCTAATATTCAAAAGCATAAAAACGAAAAGATAGAAAACGCCCCAGTGAGGGCCCGCGCCGATCGGCAAAACAATGAATAAGAAGACGGTCACCTCGTATTCCTGATGTTTGGGGGCGTGGAGACGGGGGGCGGGAAAGCGCCCCAGGGAAGGCCCATCTGCAGTGGCCCAGCCGAGGCTCGTCCGCAAGCTCCCAGACGGGCCCAGTGAGTGCCTGGCTCCTGCTCCTGAGATGAATCAGGGGGAGCGTGGGGAGGGGGGGAGAGACAAGGCATGGGGCAAGGAGGGAAGGGCGGAGAAAGAACAGGGAAGGGGGGGGGCATGGCGGTTGGAGAGAAGGGGAGGGGAGGGAAAAAAGGGAGGGAGGGAGGTGTAGATGGAGGGATGGGAAGGAGGGCGGGAGGGAGAAGCGACCATGGGGGGGGGGAGCGACGAGGACTTGGACGGTGGCCTGCCTCTGGCCTGCCTCCGAAGAGGCAGGTCCAAGGGTGGGCGGGGGGGGAGGAGGAGGAGGAGGAGGAGGAGGGAGGAGGAGGAGGAAGGAGGAGGAGGAGGAGGGAGGAGGAGCGATGAGGAGGAGGAGGATGAGGAGGAGAGGATGGGGGAGGAGGGAGGAGGAGGAGGAGGATGGGGATGAGGGGGAGGAGTAGGAGGAGGAGAAGGAGGACGAGGAGGAGGAGGACAAGGAGGAGGCCCCCGGGAATTTCTACGTAGCCCCTTCTCCGCTCTTTCCTCCCTCTCCTCGGCCTTCTTTCTCCTCCTTGGTTCTTTCCTGGACACCTCTTCATGAATTGTGTTTGTTGCCGAGCGCCGTTCGGCCTTCAGCCCTATCCGCGAGCACGTGAACCCGAGCCGGGAGGGCGGAATACACAAGGTCTCCAGTCACAAGACACCTCGTCTGGAAACCCAGTCCCTGATATCCAAAGAAGAAATCTCCCTAGAAATCCCGGGCGATGACATCCGAGATTTCGGACGATGTCAGGGTCTGAAAACCCAAGGGCATTCATCGCACGCCTCGAACTGCAGAACAACAGGGAACCAAGACAGAACACAGGGGGCCGACTTCTTGATGCGAGTCACCAGTGTAAGATGAGGTGCAGTGGGAAGCTGTGCGAACAGTCCAGAACTGTTTGCTTGTATGGACTTCTGGGTTCTTATCCCTACGTGGAAATGTTGACGTGTCAACGGCGGGGAAACCATTCCGGAGGTCTCTTCGAGGACTTCTGGAGGTCTCGCGGTCGTCTCTAGAGGTCTTCTGCAGCTTCTGGAGGCACGGCAAAAACTAGAGACGTCAAACAATAACAAACATCATGGGCCCTGAACTCCAGGGCCCTTCTCCACGGCGATGCTTTCATCCCGAGCCAACGTTGACGGTCCCATGACACGGGAGGCTAATGGTGAAAGAATGCAGGTCACCTCGTAAATGGTGCAGAAGCAATGCGGGACAGAAGCGCTGAACCGACGTGTTAGCAGCTACAGTCAAGTCGTATAGTAAGGATGAGCAACTTTCCAAGACGCCCCTTGCATCCTTGTCTTCGGCCCATCCTTGGAATATGTCGCTGGCCAATCCCGCTCGAAAACGCCAACATGGCCCTCCACGGCCCTTGCATATTTCGAGCGGGTATGTTTAATGGCAGGAGAGCAGATAAGCAAATAAGAACGAACAACATTCAAATGACAGGAGAGCCGAGAATCGAATTGAAAAGTCGAATCGGCAATCAAAATGAATCGGATCGGCGGAAATCGGCAGCCAAGTCGGGAGAAGTCGAGTCGACAGAAATCGGAAGGCTAATAGGCCTCCATGGAGAAATCGGAATCCACATCGGAATCCGAAGCCGAATCGAATCGGAATCGGAAACCATCGAAATCGGATCGAATCGAATCGGAGGGGTCGAAATGAGCTCTGAGTGATTGTTGTTGTCGATGTCCACACCCGCGACCCGCCCGCGACCCACCTGCGATCCGCCCGCGACCCATCCTCGACCCACCCGCGACCCGTCCGAGACACACCCGCGACCCGCCACCGTTGGTTTAACAACAAATAAGAGCCTGCGGCGGGCTCGTTGTGTAATGTGCAGAAGCGTTCGGCGCCTACGGTGACCTTATTGAACTCTGAATTCGAGCCGCCGCAGCCGTGGGAGCGATGGTACCATTATTGTTCTCACTCCAGGAAGCCCCCCACGAGATCCCAGCGAACATCCAATGGGCTTTATACCCACAACCCAGGCACGGTGGCGGGATGGGCCGAGGGCCTTTGGATATCATGAGTGTTCTTACTCCCCCTCCTCCTCCTCCTCCTCCTCCTCCTCCTCCCTCCTCCTCCTCCTCCTCCCCCTCCTCCCTCCATCCTCCCCCCCCTACTGACTCCCCCTCCTCCCCCTCTCCTCCCTCTCCTACTTCACCTCTCTCCTCCTCTTTCTCCCCCTCCTTCCCCCTCCTCCTCTCCTCCTCCTCCTGCTCCTCCTCCTCCTCCTCCTCCTCCTCCAGATTCTCCTCCTCCTCACCTCCTCTTCCTCCGCCTCCGCCTCCTCCCCCTCCTCCCTCCTCCCCCCCTCCTCCCCCTCCTCTCCTCTCCCTCCTCCTCCTCGCTCCTCCTCCTCCTCCTCCTCCTCCTCCTCCTCCTACCTCCTCCTCCTCCTTCCTCCTCCTCCCCCTCCCCCCTCTTCCTCCTCCGCCTCCTCCTCCTCTCCTCCTCCTCCTCCTCCTCCTCTCCTCCTCCTCCTCCTCCTCCTCCTCCTCCTCCCCTTTCCTCTCCTCCTCCTCCTCCTCCTCCTCCTCCTCCTCCTCCTCCTCCTCCTCCTCGGCCCATTCCCCTTCCCAATCCAGACTTTTTTTTTTCTTGGAGCCGGGCCTGGAGGACCCCCTTGGAGCGCCCGCGGAGCCTCGGAGCTCCTCGCCGCCCGGCGCCTCGGCTCCGAGCTCCGGCCTCCGCTGGCCGCTTCGGGACGCCTCGGGCACCCCGGGACGCAGCTGCTCAAGAGCACCTCGAGGCCGGCAATCCTCCGCCGAGGGCCGACGAGGATGCTCCAAAGCCTCGAACCACCCCGAACCGATTTCTGCCGACTCGTGTTCTCCGACTGGCCTACTAGCCTTCCGATTTCTGCCGACTCGTGCTCTCCCGAGTTGGCTGCCGATTTCCGCCCATCCGATTCATTTTGATCGCCGCTTCGACGTTTCGATTCGATCCTCGGCCCTCCTGTCATGTGAATGCTGTTCGTTCTTACTAGGATGCTCCAAAACCTCGAGCCACCCCGAACCTCGATCCCTCTGTCGTCCGACCCGATCCTCGACGCCCGCGACGGCGACGACTGCGACGACGACGACGAGGGCGACAGCGACGACTGCGCCGACGACTGCGCCGACGACGGCTGCGACGGCTGCGCCGACGACGACGGCGACGAAGCGAGAGGAAGGACGACGACGACGACGACGACGACGACGACGACGACGACGACGACGACGACGACGACGACGGCGGCGACGATGCGGGCGTCAGCGGAGGGGCCGAGCATCGTCCGCCGCAGCTCGGGCCCGGGCGCGCAGCACGGCGCCTCACGCGGGGACGGCCGCCTTCACGACCATGTCGTTGAAGCGGTCGACCTGGGGCACGCCGCGGGTGGTCGGGTGCGGTCCCCCTTAGTGGGCCCTGGAAACGACCAGGCCGTTTTTCTACCAATTCCGTTGTGCCGTTTTTGTTGCCGGTTCCGACTGCGTTTTTGTTACCGGCTCCGTCGCCGTTTTTGGACCGGTTCCGGCTCCGATTCCAGTCCTGGAGCCGTTCTTTTGCCGTTTCCGGTCGCCGTTTTTTTGCCGTTTCCATTTTCAAGGGACATGTTTTTGAAATCGGTGAAAAAAAACGGCCCTGCCGTTTCCGGGGCCTACAGTGCGGTCCCCTACGTAGAAGAAGAACAAACTGCATAAACATACACTTTGTGGCGCTCCGCGCGAATTTTCTGGATCTGCGCTGGCGCCCCCTCCCTGGCGCGCGGAGCGCGCCGAGGGCGGCGCCGGAGGCGCCGCCAGGGGGCCCCAGCGCAGATCCAAGAAACCCGCGCGGAGCGCCAAAAGATTACGTTTATGGCGTTTGTTCTTCTTCGATTGATTGGGGAGGACACACGAGAGGACACAAGAACCGTTTGAGGGCAACATCGCCAAAGGAATGCAGAATGCATGGGTCACGAAGCACAGGGCACAAGTGTATACCTTTGATCTGGCAAGGCCGACCTACTAAGCAGCCTCGACTGTAGTTGAGAAGCAACTCCTGGGAGGTCTTTGTGAGAACGTTCGAGGCCTACTAAGGAAGATTCAGGCGCCACGAAGCCGAACTAGCCAGGATTAGGCCCAGGATGCAGCGGGATTAAGCCAGACTAAGCGGGATTAAGCCAGATTCGGAATGATGCCAAATTAGGCTTGTCTTCGACCACGGAGATACCAACGCCGATGCTGAATGCAACCTCCCAGGAGTTGCATCCTGACCGCAGTTGGCCCTGAAAACGACAGGGCCGAGGGAGGGGAAAAGCCATAGGGAGGGAGGGAGGGAGGCAGGAGGAAGAGGAGGGGAGGGATGAGTCCTCTGACTACCTACTAAACCACCCCAACCCAACCCGAAAACCCGAATTTCGGGTTTGGGGGGGGGTACGGGCTTCATATGTGTTTTTGTCCATGCTCCCCGACCCCCCCCCCCCACTGGAAATGGAGGGCAACTCGGGGCCTTCGGGCTGGGTTGTGGTGGTTTGGTGGGCGGTGAGATCCTCACCCCTTCCTTGAAGGGGCCCTGGGACACACAAATAGACAGACACAAATAGCAGGATTCCCCATATTTTCCCATATGTTCAGGGTTTCTGTCTTCCCCCCCACTTCCCATGTTCTCCCATATTTTCTGCGGAATCGACGATGAGTTGTGTCTGTGTTGTTTTCCCTCCTGACTCCCCTCCCGCACGCGGCGGAGGCCTCGTTGGCGGAGCCGATGGCGAGCGCGCAGCGCTGGTCCACCGCCTGGCGGGGCGAGGGGCGGCCGGCCCCAACTCCTCCTCCTCCTCCTCCTCCTCCTCCTCCT